CTGGAAATAAGAGAAAAATTCATTGAATGAGAACCACTCAGGAAGAAGACGTGAGTCCCGGCATGATAGGCAGTGACCTCTCCAGTGTTGGCTGTTGATGGTATCAGGTATTCCGTAGACTCCCATTCACATCCAAGCACTCACCTGCATGGATGTTTTGTAACTGCTGGCCTGGCAGCAGCTGGGACAGTGAGCCCCTCCTTGTAGGGGTATCTGTTCTCTGACAGTGTCCACCCCCCCACTGCTTCTCTCTGAAGCCATGCTGACATCTCACTGTTTTGTGTCTAGTGTGTTCTTTTTGGAAATCTTCCTCGCTTTGGTTTGCAGTGGACCGTAGCCCAGAAGGGACCTATGGTGCAAAAATGGCTGAGGTTAGAGCGACTTTTCTCCACTGCCACACTGCATCCCACCTACACCAGAACTTAATTCTTGTCTCCTAGACGTGCTGCCATGGACTGTGAGGTCATGGCCTCATAGCTTTCTTAACTCAAGAACCTCAGTCACCTTTTGGGTGACCTGAAACTTGAAAACTCCAAATTATTTCAACCCCAGCTCTCAGTGGTCATGTCTCAGGTTCCTGATAGGACAAAGTAAAAGAAAAGTTAAAAAACAAAACCAAGAAAACAATGCAGGCAGAACCAAGGATGGGGAAAGAAAACCATGGGCATAACCAAGCAAGCCGAGGCACCCTGTCTTGAACCATGATGATCTGTAGACTGACAAGACATGCACATTTTAAAACAATGTTATCTTGTATGTCTTGGGAAGAGGAGAGAGATTTTTATTTGTTCTTTTTTATTTGTTTGGTTTTGGTTTTGGTTTTGGTTTTGGTTTTTTGATACAGGGTTTCTCTGTCTAGTTTTGGTGCCTGTCCTGGATCTCGCTCTGTAGACCAGGCTGGCCTCAAACTCACAGAGATCCGCTTGGCTCTGCCTCCCAAGTGCTGGGATTAAAGGTGTGTGCCACCACCGCCCGGCTATTTGTTCTTTCTTAAGAAAGAATAACTTTGTTCTTGGACTTTGTCCATCCTACTTAATTGAGGCCAGAGTGTTTTAGTTTAAATGGCATTGAGAGAAAATGTGGGATTTTAAAATTTTCTGCTCAGCCAGTTAACATTTTGGGCAACAATGTTCTAGTCAGAACCCTTGTATCACTTTGTCGCTGTGGCACCAGAACTGAGCCCAGGGTCTTGCACATACTGACCATGTGTTCTTCCACTGAGCTGTAACCCAGCTCCAGAGCTTTGTTATTTTAAAAATACCAGTTCTTGAACATGCATGAAAGCTTGGGAAGTTCCGGGGTGAGGAGAATGTACCCAACAGAGGTTACATGGGCTTCATGTCAAACCCTGGATCCACAAGTTGTTACATAAATCTGACCACGGTATTTATTCTCTGGGAGCATCAGTGTACTCATGTGTAAAATTGGATTATTTCTAAAAGTCAACAAGATAATGAATGGAATAGAGCATGACTCACTCTCCGTTCTGTGTGTTGGCTTATGATTATGTCTTACACAATGCACTGAATTGATAACTGTGGTTTCTGTTGAAATCCTAGTTCTGTGATTTCTTGTCCTAGGAAGCCAAATTCATATTAGGAACTTCAAACACTATAGAGAAAACGAGCAGGCCACACTGGGAAGTCAAGTAACACTGATTGTTCTGTGGCTTGTGGCAATCTACAGTGAGAATCATATTACATCTTTGGCTCTGAGCCTGAGATCCTACCGGCATTTGATCTGGATATTTACTGCTTTTGATCTAAAATAAAATAAAATCCATCAAAAACAAAACAGCAACAAAAAAATTCAGTTGGTCCCAGTGTCCTATCAGCATAAGTGTGTTTGTGTTCCTGTGGTGCACTCATGTGCTGCCCATGAAGTAAATGTGTTCCAAGCTGTCAGAACCAGTTCTGGTTGATAAACCACAAGTATTCATGTCCATTTGGCACAATTTATGAAAACAAATGTGAGACACCAAAATTTCAGATTTCTAACTCCCTGATGAGTCACACATGAATGGAAATCTAATATAATGGGTTTAATTGAATATATTGAAAATAGGACAGAAACTAACCTCTACCACGTCTGTTAGTTATGGTAGGAAGGATTTGTTTATGAACAGATAAAGTACTTTGTTCCAAGAGCGGAAAGACTGCAACAGAGGTGGTGTATTAGTTTCTTCCCTCAGTGCTGCGACACAGTAACAAGGCAGGAAGCTTGCAGAAGGAAAGGTTTCCTCTGCCTTGTGGTTTGAGGGCGCAGCCCACCATGGTGGGAAGGCATGGCTGCAGGAGCTTGAGGCCGCTGGTCACATTCCATCCACAGTCAGGAAGCAGAGAGAGATGAATGCTGGTCTACTGCTCTTTTCCTCCTTTTTTTTTTTTTTTCAAGTCCAGCCCACAGGATAGCTCTATGTGCGTCCAGTGTGGTTATTCCCTCATCACTTAAACCTCTCTGGAAATGCCCTCAGAGGCGTGCCTAGAAGGGTGTCTCCTAGGTGACTTTAAAATCCTGCCACATTGGCAGCGGAAATTAACCACTGCAAGCAGCATTAGACTAACTGAAATTACAGTGTGCTTGCAGTGGCCGTGGGTCAGAGGCAGTGTGCTTGCAGTGGCTGTGGGTCAGAGGCAGTGTGCTTGCAGTGGCTGTGGGTCAGAGGCAGTGTGCTTGCAGTG